CGGGACACGGGCTCCGGCCGCCGCGGGAAGTGCAGCGCTTGCGGGTCACAGCCGAAATTCATTTCTAGTCTGTTTCCAGGTGAGCCTGACCCGCCGTAGCTTGGATCTGCCTCCAGCCTCCCCAGTGAAGGCAAACCGCGTGTGTAAATGTTGAAGGAAAGCTTATTTTTCACTTATTTGCAGCACATCGGTGTCCAGACTCAGTGATAGTCTGTGATTCTGTGTTTTGAACTCCCTACAGAGAGGCACGCAGAGCCGGCTTGGTGTGAGGGCTCTGTTCCCTTTGGGACACAGGGGTGTAGATTCGGGTGAATCTAATATGGGTAAAATAATATTTTTATAATAATATGCTCTGCTCAGCATCAGCAGCGCAGCCCCCATCACTTCACAAAAGGGAATGGCAAAAAACCATAGGAAAACTCGGATGGAGTAAAGGAATTCCCCCACAGCACCCTAAAGCACACACACATTGTCACTGTGGCTTCCAAGACACAGAACATTGTCCAGGATGGCAATAGAAACAAAATTCTCCTCCTGCTAGTCACAAAATAGTGAGCAGGCGCCATTTTAGTTGAAATTAACTGTGTGAACTGTGTGTGCTGAAACCTCTACATTAGTCTGCTGACTTACTAAAATTATATATACACACATAAAATGGTCGAAGTTGATAAATACAATTTTTATTCTGCTACACAGTTTCATGAGCCTGTCTGGTGACCTTACACGGCCCCATTGGCTGAACGGGGTAACAGGAGGTTTGGAAATCAATTTCTCATGAGTTCAGATTGATTTCCCCTGTTCTGGCACCCGTTTGGTTTCACTGAGTGGTGTTTTGCTAAGAACACACCACTCCATCCCCCTTCCGAAGGATCCCGAGCGCTCAGCTGCCCGGCCCCAACTCTCACTTTTAATTAATGTGGCGCTGGTGAGAAGTGACAATTTCCCTGACATTGATGAACAGCGAGCGGTGTATTTATCCACGCGAGGGACGCGCCGCAGACAGAAGAGCCGGGCACTTTTCCCATCAGTGCACCTCCGTCTCCATCTCTGAGCGCTGAGTTCATCCCGGAGCGCGCTCCGGCCCTGCCCTTTCGCTGCCCGTCGCTGAGAAGAGTATCAATTTTCATTTGCATGCTTTGCCCGCTGAACTCCGGGCTGCCAATTCAGTTTATGCGAAATCTCCCCAAAAGCTGTTAGATGGCAATATTTCACATCGCTGGCTGAGCTCTTTGTCAGCCATCCACACGTTTTAAATCCGCGCTTCTGCGGATTCCTGGACTATCTGGTACCTTCTTTGGTACTGACAGGCTCCAGACAAGTCACCACCCACCAAAATAATGCCCAGATAACCCAAAAGACTTCCAGAAAGGATGGGTAGTGATGGTATTCTCCTCAGTACTATTTCAGAGTTGTTTTTCCAGCTTTTTAGGTTCGGGTTTCCAGTTTTTAGTCCCCTACTTGTTTTTCAGGAAACGCTCCTTGAGCAGATGTAAACTTGGGACAGTGGTGTTGCCATTCCTGGATGTGTTTAATCCAAAGGACCTCTCCATCTCCTATAAGCACTCCAGATCCCTTAGTAGTTTATAAGTGGAAAACTGATGCCTTCAAACACCAGAGAAACCTGAAAGAACTGCAATAGAAAAACAATTAATAACTGTCATGTTAGTGAAAATAGGGAAAGGTTTGTAATCACCACAAAATACGTTGTGAAGAGCAAATGCTGATGAAAAGCTTGCCTGCTCCTGGAATTCTGTATTCATTTAAAAATTGAAATAAAGGACATTTTTAACAATGCAGTTTTATATGAAAACAGGTTAAGATTTTCAATTTATTTCTTTAATCTGTCTGCTCTGGGTGTGCTGGACACAGTGTCAGCACACCAGGCCCATCTGGATGACAGGGGATGTGCCAGTCTGGGTTAACTAGGTTTGGCACGTCACACCTTTAACTTCTGCTGGGCTTTTTCAACACATTATTCAACTTCCCAGCAAACTCCAGACACCAGCGGGGACACCCAGAGGTGCGATTTTGCCGGGTGGACTAATGCCATAGCATGGGTCTTTGGAAGAGCGGGGAGGGTTCACCTCA